ATACAAAACTTGACGAATGAGACTTTCGAAGCCGTACAAAGGTGTGATATTTCGGTTTCGGAAGTATTCTAAGCCTCGGCAACCATTTAAAACAAGCCGCATAGAGAGTGTTATCTCTGCCGTCCTCGAACCGTCAACTCCCTCTTGCGACAAGACCATGACGAAAATTCTTTTTGCGGACAGTTGCGGTGCGGTGCGGTGCCGCATATCAAAAGTCTTGATAGAAGTTTCTCAACACAAGGCTTGAATTCCAAATCATTGCAAGGGCGAGTTGGGTACCTCGAAGCTCTTTTCTCGTTCACAGACGATGGATACCGTTTTGAGAATTGGCTTTAGACCGTCTAGGAGATATGTTGTTCATACTCAACCAGAGGCTTGCTGCATATTGCGAGCAGGAAACTTTGACCAAGTCAAGGCACTTCGAGTTTCAGATCTTGCTATCCCCAGCTAGGGATTATAAGCATATGGGACAAGGAACAGCATGCGAAGCAACTAAACGGGATGATACGAAAACAGTCCTGTGGGAAGAGAATGTGATGCGATACCTGATGCGTCAGGTGGGATTGTATTGGGATGTGCGTTTGCCCAGATGCACCGCGGAGAATCTTCTCGAGAGTCAAGGAAACCAGTTGGCCATAGAGGACCTCAACGCGGTTAACTCGCGTAGACATATTCCATATGGGTTAAGAAATATACATATCCGCTATGATTATGACGAACGGAATGGAACGAGATGATTAATCGCACATGCTTCGCAATCCCTTGTGTGGGTGAGAGAGGTTGGATGCTGCACAAGGCAACCTGGATGCGCCCTCACTCATTGCGTAGGCTCAAAACGAGGCAGATAGACAGTGTTCGCCCTCTGTATAAACATAAACATTTCCCGGAAAGCCTAAGACAGCTCGCCGAGGGAAGTAAAGCAAACCAACCTTCCTGGCTGCAAGATGGCCGGTCCTTTGAACGCGTTTACCGCCGAGAGTGAGGCGAGATGAAGCACGGTTTGAATGCCTTATTCGCCCCCGAAAAATATTATATTGTACCACTTACGATACGTAGATCAATGGCGTATCTTGGGTCGGGCTGATGATGCTTGGTGTGGCCGCGTGGCAAGGTACGGAACAGAACCACAGACTGTGATAATGAATCAAGAATGATGAGTTCCGAATATCCTATCCCGACTGAAAGTAAACAAACGTGCTACAGTAGTCCGCAGAAATTCATTTACCAGATAGCTATAGCTAGTATAAATATGTTAGCTGCAATCTAAACCTGAAATAACGAATGAAATTTATAATAGTAAATCTATGGTATATAGTATAATTTCCAGCTGCAACAGCGTAGCGTTGGGGAGCGGAGAGAAAATCTTCTCCCACATCTTCGGGTGGCCAGGGGGTGGGCACTTTCTCCAGCATGTTGGCGTGCCAGGCGTGGTCGGCGTCGGGGTGGTGAGGTAGGTCTCGCTAAGCCCCTAAAAACAGATTCCCATTAATTTGTTCCTTAAAGTCTGTGCTATGGGTACCTATAAGTGGTTAGTACTTCGAGTAGCTACTGTATTGGAGTCCCTAACAGAACAATAGTAACTTAAATGAAATGAGTTTATGATAGGTTTCGGAGGCATGGATGGTCGCGTGCGTGTCCCTGGTGAAAATAAATAAAGGTGGGGAATTGTGGTGGATGGCATGGCATACTCGATCCTGTACTGTACATGGTTCGCAGCTATTAATCCCATCCCATCCCACGCCCTGCCGTGCCCTATTTGCCGTACTCCGTAGATCCCAACTCACCCTTGCGAATGCACCCTATCAACCTCCTGTAAGTCATACGGATTTAAAGACGCGCAACATAATGGCGGTCGCTGCCGCGCCAACGTGGCAATGCAGAACGGGCGATCTGGAGACTGGAGTTCCAGTAATGTTATTTCCAGCAGACAACCACTTGATGATAAATAGCAGCGGTATCCTCACCGCCATCCCGATTTTAAAATATCGCGAGAGAAGCGGTATGGGGGGTGTGTCTGATGGTTGAAAGAGACCTGCTCGGCAAACTTCACCTTGGTTGCCTCGTCGCTCCTAGGCAAGGTTTGTTCTCAGGTTGCTTCGTCCTGCACAGCGCATATAAGATAACGGCATTACAATCATTGCAATACTGCGATCAGCAACATGCCCTTCCCGTTTGCAGGGTACCTTTACAGAACTCCTAGAACGTCTGCAGCAACTGATAATTCAGCATCGAAAGCATGAACTGTGGAAGCCACGCTTTACGAGTGCTATGCCGTGTTGACTTTTGCCTTACTTTCCTAGATAACAGAGCCGAAGTCCAGAATCCTGCAACGGGAGAACAGTAGGTACTGAGACAAGACGAAATTTATTAGTCGTTCACCTCTCGATGAAAGAATTCTGTAGAGCTTGTTCCTGCATATAACCTTGTCCCCGGCCTTGTTCCTCAGGGGGACCTTACCTGGTGGATGTGGACGGTTACCTGGTAGATGCCGTACAGTACAGCACAGTACAGTACTCGGTAGAGGCTGGAGTAACTGACTGCTCGCCTTCGTACTGTACTGTACTGCAACGAGCCCATGCCACCATACACACCATACATGTGACGCATCCTGTTCATTGGCCGACTTTTGAAGATGATCCTCCGTCCGCCCTAATCCCCGTCAGGAAGCCTTTATAATTGGTTGTGTAAAGCACGGATAAGCCGACTTGCCAGGTACTTCTATCATATTAATATCTGCTGCGATAAGTATTAAAAAAAATGCTATATAAACTAATGCACATTAAAAGTTGGGAAATAGTAGTAGATACGCTACGCGCTCTCTAAAGGTGACTTGATTTTACTAATTGTTCTAGTGGGGCCGTAAGTCACTTTTCGAGTTGACTAGTATACGCGTTGACTTATATACTTTATACTTTATTGGATCCTTTCTTAAATAGGCTAGCATAAATCGACTTATCTTTCCTTTGGGTCGACTCAAGGGAAGCCTTTTCTTTAAGAGATTTAAGGTAGCTAGTGGCCTAAAGACCCGTCTGTTTATGAGGTGCATATGCAGGTCACTAGACGGAGATGGGGTATTTAGCGTGGGGAGTTTTAGGGGTTTCCGGGGAATTTTCTCGTATTCCCCCAAGCTCTACTACAAGTGATACGGTATGTTAATATCCTGATGGTCCTAATGATCCAGGATCTCAACCGTGTTTTCAGACTAGGACGATGATGACCTCTCCTGTCTCCTTCGATTAAGGTTAAAACACTAACATTGCGGATGATTCTTGATTCGCAGCGGCGCGGGGTTGGGATCGGCAAATACTGTATTCCGCCGAGAAATGTGAGGGAGGGGCGGCGAGGGCTGTCACGAACCCGAGTTATTTCCTCCAGTCTTCGACAGGGTAGTTTACAGGAGGACAGGGGTCTGGTCTGCAGAGGGGACCAAAGTTTTAGGGGGTTTGTAGTTCGCCATTTTGCAACCCAGGGTCGATGCCTAGCTACGAAGAACATCATAGTGTCAAAGGCTGCTAATACACACACAATGAGAGCGAAATGTATTTCAAGCTGCCCATCTGGCTGTGAGTAAAAAAATTTGCCATTTGCACTATCATTCTCTCTTGCGCCCGATACGTGTGTATATATTAGCTTGATGCCCCCTCTGATATCTCTCGCAATTCTTGGTTGTCTTCCTCTTCATTCATCTAAAATACCTTGATCTACAGTACCTCCATCCGCAGTACTCTCAGACCCTCTATTTCTCCCAAGCCTTTTGCCAGGACCAAACTTAGTCCAAAGATACTCGTTACGGCCACAACACTCCCACAGTAGACGATGGCGTCCACCAACACAGAAAACAGCGGACAGTATGTCTCGTCAACGTAAGATGTCCCATTACCATCATCCTCTCATCCAGTCACCCTTCCTAACCACGAAGACTAACATGTACCTAACAGATATGCCCATAGTTCATCCGAGCATGTCTCGCCGAGCGAGTATTCCGACATAATCAGCCCTCAGTACACACCCTCATCGTCCCAAGCCAGTGCATATGGCAACTCTGCCACCCCAGGGCACACTGCCAGGGCTGCAGACAGTGCATCGAGCAGTGCTCGAACGCCAGTGCATTCCACCCTCACTCGGCAATACCTCCGCGCCCACGATGCGCAACAAACAACCCGTCGGGAGAGAGCTCACGCTCGTGCTGCTCACCACCAACATGGACGTCGCCATGCTACCACAGACAACGCCAACGCCAACGCCGACATGACACCAACCGAACGTTTCGAAGCTGCGTCTGACTATCCTTATCAGCAACATAGCAATTATCAGCCTCTGGTTAGCAATTCGGTACACTACCAGCAAGTGGACACTTCCCAATATCCGATCACAGAGCCACGTGACTCTTATACTCCTTCATCCACATTTGTCGCTCACACTGGCGTCAACTCGACGTACCGGTACCCCGCAGGGGTTGACAACCAGGATACCACGTACTGGACACAGACTATACTATCGGGAAAAGACACCACGGACTGGGGTTATGACCTCGCTGGTGTCGGGAGACAATTCGAGTATGAGGATCAAGCTTGACAGAGATATACGCGTTGTGGAAACGGCGCTGTATAAGAAGCAGGAAGGTGGCGTTTGAAATATTATGTGTATGTGATGACCCACTTAGGTAAGATAGATATGGCGTTGTATAGGGAACCTGGACACAAGAAAATGGGACTGTAAATGGAGTACTTGAGGGTCAACAAGGACGGGATCTGATGAAGAAAAATGTATCTTGGAAGGAATAAGGAATATGGAGTACTTGAGGCGGGGAAAAGGACGGGAATTGATGGGAAAATGTATCTTGGAAGGAAATAGGAATATGTACCACTCGTAAAAAATACCGCTTAAACACTAAAGGCAAAACTTAGCTCGCTTCTTGGGCACTCCATCTCTCCACCAAGTCATCCAAATCATCAATTCATATCAAATCATTCAAACATACCTCCCCGCCCTTTCCCCCTTCAGCCAATCCTCTTCTCCAACTTCTTCAAGAACCCCCCTACACCCTTCTCCAACTGCCCTGCGCGCTCCTCCAACTTCCCCCTCGCAGGCTTACTCGGCTTCACCTTCCCGATCGCCTCGCCCTCCGTCGGTCGGTAGACTTGCTGATGAATACTGTAATCACCGCCTAGGGGCACTGTATGGCTCAGACTCGGATTATAGTTAAATTGCGAGAAACCGCCTGGTGGGGGTGGCGCGCTGGGTGTGTAGGGTTGGCCGGGGGAGTAGAGACCTGGTGTTGACATCCCTGGTGGAAGACCCGGGGATCCAGGATAGTTTGCGTATTGGGTTACTGGGGGGGAGGCTGGCTGTGCTTGGTATGCTGGCGGCCCGGGGGGTGGAGGCAGGGAGGCGGGAGGTGAGGGGATCCTAGATGCGGGGGAGTGGGAGTATGGGGGTGTGGGTTTTGGTGCGGCGGGTGGTGGCGCGAAGGAGTGCGCGTAGGGTGATTGGAGACCTGCTGAGGGAGGCGCTTGGCTGAATTGTGATTGCAAACCTGCTGATGGTAGAGGCTGGCCGAATTGTGATTGTAGACCTGCTGATGGAAGAGGCTGACTGTATGGTGATTGTAACCCCACTGAGGGAGGAGGCGCGCTTGCTGCTGGCGGGCCTGGGAAATAGCTTTGTTGTGATGCGGCTTGTGGTGGACCGGAGAAGCCTCCGGGATTTTGAAATGGAACGCCATAGGTCTGGCCCTGGTCTGAAGTCGCGGCTGCTACGAGAGGGTTTCCGGCTCCATCTTCTGGAGGTGGTGTCTTGACCCGGTGTTGAATAACTTCAGGGGCTGCTGGAGCTGCGGGGTTATATGCCATTGGGGCAAAGTTGGAGGCTTCTTGGCTTTGTGGGGTAGCCGAGATTGGAGGTCCGGGGAAAGATGTGGGGGCCGCAGTTCGAGAATCTCTCGTACGACCTTGTTGGTACGATGGATCTGTGATGGCCACATTCTCCAACTGCTGTACCACTGGGCTCATTTCGTTCTGGTGTGGGGGAGGGGCAACGGGTTCATCCAGAACTGCTACTTGCTGCTGAGGTAGAACCCTCCGAACCCCGTTTAAAAATTGGAGAGCATCCTCCTTTGTCCAGAAATATATATCCACAGTATGAAGTTTATACATATATTTCCTATCGTTCTTTGGATCGAATGTGGGGAGGTGCCATTCTTGGCTATCGGCTGGAGCATGGGCATAGGTTTGACTTGGGCCATCAACAGTCAATGTGATTAAAGTGCAATGCTTATACGAGTATTGAACGTGTGCGCCGTCGAGATCTGAATATATTAGCAAACTGATGTCGTGGCTCCGACGTAGAATACTAACGTCCATTAAAAGCATCTTGTTCCGGTGTCCCAGCATTATTTGCAACCTCTATCCGTGCCCTTCTCTGCGAAGCGTTTTCAAACAGGTAAACGTATGAACCCTTATCGAATCGATGATGTGGAGGTTTGGCTGTAGGAGAGCCATAGTAATAATGTAAATCGGCGAAGCTGTTTCCTGTCAGAAATGTAAGGCTGAGGGATGAACCAAGCTTACAGTGTTGCCACAAGTTCTTCTCCAGGCCGTGCTGCCATCGTGTCTGCAACCCAGCCGGCGATTACTTGTGCGGAGAAAGAAAGAGATAGCAAGATAAAATACTTTGTCTGCGTTTCAAAGAGGGAAAATTGAGAAAGATATACTTGTAGACGAGAAGTAAAAAGAGCGCGACTTACCGTGTGTGGGATGGAGGGGTCGCGATCTATCTTTACTGAGGTGCACCTTGTTCGGCGGTAAGCTGCATTGACGTTGACCAATGAGGCTCTACGAGTATAAATAGTTTGGAGATATTAAGCGCGTGAGAGAAGTATCCACAGCGGCGGCTCCCGAGTTTCTTCAACACCACGACTCAGACGGACCCCTTGGAGATCTCTCCGTACAATTGGACGCGAGAAGTCTTCAAAACTAACTCTAATGAGGCTCAATAAATTGGGAGCGTCGGCGCCATTTAGAGCACAAAGGGCCAGAAGTAGCCACGTTTGCCGCAACCCGGCGTCAAAATATATGTTGTGTTGTTTGTTGTACAAAGCAGAAGCTTGTATTCATGTGGTTACACTGTGTAACATTCCGATGCCAATACAGAGCAGGTGGATGCGCTCCGCAAGGATTGTTAGTGTGAGCACGCAAAATAAATTATAGTAAAAGCAGAAGTCCTGGAAAACTGGCAAGGAAAGTACGAAGGAGAATATCACCATCACGTGACAACTATATCCTTTGATACAAGCACTATTCTACTTTGGATGAAACGGGTGAAAAGACTTAGAAGAACAAAGATTTAGGTACATCTCAAAAGTTGAAGTTGAAAGTAGATAAGTATAGTTAATTCTTGAAGGCTTTTGACCTCTTTCCTCTCCTCTCCTTCAAATTCTCGGCTCCATGGAAATTCCGATCCGATTGCCGTTCCGTCGGAAGAACTTTATTTTTTGGGCGACTCTACAAACATAACCTCTTCGACATCAAGCCAACAGCCAAGATCAATTGCGAGCTCCACGTTCACTCACTCGACATCTAAACACCAAAGCAATTAAAGGTACATCATCTGCCTCTTCCCAAAAGCTACCAAACCCAGCAGCTAACGCCAACCAGCCGCGCAATCACCATCAACTCGAATCTCCCCATCTAGTGCCTATCCCCCCTCTGCGCCCGCGCGGGCCCCCAACTCCCCACGCAAGGCCAACAACCTTCCATCCTACCTACCTACCCTAAAATGTCCCTCGTACACCTCGCCAACGTGTGCTCGCACCTTCAGAACGCCTCCAAAGCGCGGTTGGGTCTGACATCCATCCCCTCGACCAACCAACTGCTCACCCTCTCGCTGGCGCTCCAATCCGCTGGCTTCCTATCTTCCGTCACCCGCGCAGGCCTCACTCCTCCTCCCTTGAACTCTGCAACTAAATACGAACCCGAGCCTGTCACGCAGGAGAATGTTAGTACTAGGAGGCTTTGGCTGGGACTGAAGTATTGGAATAATCGAGCGGTGTTGAGCGAGATGAGTATGGTTAGTAAGCCGACGAAGAGGGTCTGGATGGATGTTGAGGGCTTGGGACGGATTGTTAGGGGGAGGGAGGCTGGGTTTGTGAGGGGCTTGACGAGGCCGGGGGGAGTGTTTGTTTGTGTCTACGGATAGGGGGCGTAATGGAGGCGAGGGAGTGTGTTGAGAGGAGGGTTGGGGGGATGCTGCTTTGTCGGGTTCTGTAAGGAATAGATGGATGTATGGAATAGAGTGGCAATTCGAGACACGCTAGGCAAAAGAGATGAGTGGAAACGGGGAGGGAAAGGAGGTGTAGGATATGAAGAATGCATGGATGGCGTTTGCATATTGATCCGGAAGAGGAAGTGTATATAATATATGTGTAGAAAGCCATGTACAGCACGCAACATACTTTCTTAGTTGAGAGGCACCAACACCACTCCCATTCGTTTACAGATCCGATTGATTAATATTCCTTGTTTACCATCACATCTAGATCTCATTTTCCCAGCAATCAAGCCCCAAGGGCTACATTCAAATCTTAACTGAGGAGCCACACCACGAGTTCCTATGATCTTGCATATTACGGTAGAGCGAGAAGTTGGGAATAGCTTTACATTTTCCTCTTGATCTTGTAGAATGCAATAAATCTTGAGTACTACTCGGAGAGTGCAGCGGTCAAGCAATATAATGGAATTGAGAGCGGCCAGTCAGGTAACTCTCTCACCTTCAAACCTAAGCATTAGTAAGGAAGGATTTCAGATTAAAGAAGGTAATTGTAGTTGAGCAACATATTCCGATTACTGATACACATCCGTTGCAAAGAGGAGAGTTCAATGCCTTCAAATACTCCTTTAACTTATGCGAAATGCAATCCATATCATATACTCCGTACACTGCCAAAACAGGGCAGCCAGCCACCAGTGAATTGTACCTTATATCATCGGAAGTGTTCGGAATTTTCTGAGCTGGCTACTAAAAATCTTAGGGAATTGGGAGTTGAAGAACAGAGTATGATTGCTGATGAACGTGGTAATTGCTGATGAACGGGTAAAGAGAGGAAGAGTTGGGAATAGCTTCATTTCCGATTTGCGAAGTGCAACAAAACTTTTCGTAATACCTAGATAGGCAGTGCATTCACGGCAAACTATCATCCCAAGTACTGAAAATCCTCTCTTCCAATTCTCTCACCTGGCAATTGGGGTTGGAGGGCGGTGGGCAAGGAACAAAGTATAATTGCTGATGAAGGCGGTAAAGAGGGAAAGAGTTGGGAATAGCTTCATTTTCTCCTTCACGATTTGCGAAGTGCAACAAAAAAGTTCCAATACCTAGATAGGCAGTGCAATTACTGAAGAATATCATCCCAAGTATAGACAATCCCCGATTCACTTGTACCTGGCAATTGGGGTTGGAGGGACCAACGAACAGAGATGCAACAATATATTTGGACAACGTCAAATTCGTTGAGCCTTGCAATCAACGGAGCGGTAGGCAAAGGAAACATTGAGTTTTGCGCAAAGCACTGTAAAAGTCAATACTGGAACTTTTCTCCGAATTTCAAAACTTTTCTATTCCCAACTATATACAACGACGTATATACAAACACATCTATAAACGTCTCAGGATATCTGCAACCACCTCAGTAGTCTTGGCGGTCCCTCCCAAATCTGGACTCAGAAGCTTTCCCTCCTCCAAATTCCCATCAACAGCAGCGTAGATCTTGGCAGCAGCAGTCTCTTCATTCAAGAATTCCAGCATCAGAGCCACACTTCTCAACGTCGCAATGGGGTTGGCAATATTCTGACCCATGATATCCGGTGCGCTACCATGACATGGCTCTCCAATTGCAAACCCTTCTCCAACATTGGCACTCGGGACAAGACCTAGAGATCCAACAAGGGCGGCAGCTCCATCAGACAGAATGTCTCCGTACAAGTTCGGCGCAACGATAACATCGTACGTCTCTGGTTGACGGAAAAGCTTGTAAACCATAGAATCCACAATCTGCTCCTCAACACCAACACTCCCGAACTTCGCTGCAGCCAGCGCCTCTCTCGCCGTAGACCTAAACAGCCCATCCGTTTGACTCAACACATTCGACTTGTGCGTAATCGTTACCAGCGGGCTCTTGTGAATACTTTGCGTACCCGCATCCCTAATCTTCTGCCTCCTGAGTGCAATCTCACCAGCCATTGTGGCAATTCTGAAAGAAGCCTTCTCGCTGATCCTCTTGATAGCCTCCGCGACCTTGCCCTCGGGCGTATCATAAGTCTTCTCCTCCTTGACATACAAATCCTCCGTATTCTCCCGTACGATCACCATATCAATCGGGTTCCTCGCCGTCATGACGCTCTTGACCGGTCGCACATTGGCATACAGATCAAGGCGTTTGCGTAAGGCGACGATAGGGGAAGAGTAGCCTTTCACAGCTTTCGAAGGAGAGGAAACGGCGCCAAAGAGTGCACCATCGCATTCGTTCCTGAGAATTTCGACAGTCTTATCCGGGAGAGCAGCACCGGTTGTCTCGAATGTTTCGAAGCCTGCTTTGAGGTCTACGAATTCGAATTTGAGCTTGAGGGACGCGGGGAGAGCTTCGAGGATGCGACGGCCGGCGGGGATGACTTCTTTGCCAATGCCATCACCGGGGATGAGGCCTGTGAATGGTCAATTAGTTGAGTTGTAAAGCCAACATTGGGCAGTAGGGAGTATGCTTACCTATGCGTAGAGTTCTTGCTGCCATTGTTGCGTGGTTGGAGAAAGAGAGGGATACTGCGATGTCGGCCCAAATTTCTGAAGCTCTTGCTGTTGCTATCTCGGCATGTCAAACCCCTGGTTGGGCGTGGTAAAAGTAGATTTTGGCGTGTGTATATATCTTCTGCTCTCCAAAGATTAGACGGACCTATTATATCGACCCATATCCTCTATACGGGACGCTTCGGCAGCCGGAGCCCCTTTTATTTCTGCATCAAATCTCCCCCGCCAAAAGATGCCGAATTGATTCGCGACGGTGAGCTGCCCCTGCATAATAAAAGTCTCCAGATGTTACTTTCGAGACACCCAGTGTACGATCCACGAACTTCTTCCATCTGAACAAAACAGCCTCTTCTATTCCCCCATTTTTCCAAAGCTTATTCCTTCATCGCATCAGCGAACTCCATATATTGCATTTCGCGTTGTTTACGATATACCGTGTCGCGTACTATTTACCCGTTTGTTGTTTTATCGTCGTTCGTACGCTCCTGGAAATCCGGCCATCACTTTTCCAGGAACGCAAACATAACGCTGCATATACTGTTACTTCCTGGATAGTAGTTACCATCTACTACAGACTCGAGGCTTTGTTACAAATTCGGCATACGGAATATTCATAACTTCCTTGGTACAAGGAAGACACTGTTACATTTTGCCACCTAACACTATACTATCCAAATGTCGGGAGGTGTCCGCAACCTACGCGCCATGTTCGAGATCAAAGATCCGGCAGATCCTCCAGACCGAGGACGTTCACCAGGTGCTAGTTCATTGGGTGAGTGATTTCACTGAGCTTTTTGTACCAGGCTGATAGTCTTCAGGTGGTGCCAGCAGTGGCACCTCGCCTCGACCACTATCGAAAGTCCGGACAAGTTTTGTGGCAGTTGGAGGAAGTGGGCAAGTGGGCTTGGGATTGAAGAGGGATACAAGCGGTGAACCGAGCATGACAAGACGGCGAACAAGTTTCAGTATCGATGAGACAGATAATCCTAAGGCTACCGCCGAAAGGAAACAATCAATTGCTACCGAGTTGGATGCCAGGAAACGCAGCTCGTTTGTGGAGGAGACAATACCGGAGACGGCGGTAGAGACCCCTGCAATCGAAGTGGACAGACAGTTGGGACATGGCAGTGGACTGGTCAAGACAAATAGTACGAAGCCGGTTGTGCCTAAGGAGGAGAAGAAGGCAGGTCCTCCAGCACATACAAATGGGAATTCGATACCTACGATAGCAAAGACAGTGGAGAAGCCAGCAAGCAAGACGGCAAAACCGGCTCCTATAGCTACGGCGAGAACATCTGCGACGGTTAAAGCATCCCCAACAAAGACACCACTTCCCAAGTCACCACTGCCCAAAACGCCAACAACGCCCAGTAAGAGAGAGGCTCCTAGAAAGGTCACGGAGATGAAGGTGGAGAAAAAGGTGGAGAAGAAACCCAGCAAAGCTACATTGGCACCTCGCCATAGCTCGAAACCACCTACAAGTCGAGCAACGACAGCTTCATCCGCTGCAGTTAGTAAGACAAGAATTGCAGCCTCTCCACCGCCCCAGACAGGTTTCAAGAAGCCAAGACCAAGGTCACCAACCAAGCCAATCAAGCTCCCAGCATCTCTCACTGCACACACGGCTTCATCTGGATCGAAGACCACCAACTCGCCTCCACCGCCAGCTCGTCAATCACTAAGCCGTGCCTCCGGCAACGCTCAGCATACAAATGCACTACATGCGCACCAAGCTGCATCCCGCTCCCCGAGTCGAGCAAGCACCGTCTCAAAGTCATCCGTCGGGACCCGCAAACCCTCAACCCTCTCCAGCAGCGGCAGGCCATCTCTCGGCCCTCCTCCAGCTCAAAAGAGACCAGCCTCGCGTCAAAGCCTGGGGCACCAGCCTGCACCGGCCGACGACTCTTTTCTTGCGCGTATGATGCGGCCTACCACTTCTTCCGCTAGCAAGACATCAGCGCAGCCTACGACACCTCCGACTAAAGCGCCGGTTGTTCATAAGGTTGCGAAGGATGGACCGCCGAAGATAGCGAGTATGGCTGCCAAGCCGAAGGAGATTGTAAAAAATGTTGCGAAGACGGCGAAGGCGGTGGAGAAGAAAGTTGAGGCTGCTGTGCCTGTCCCGAAGGCAAAGGAAGAGCCCAAGTCTATTGCTAAGACATCGGCTCCAGAGCCAAAGGTGGAGATTCCGGAGGTCAAGGAGAAGATAGCTGAGACTTTGGCAGCGGAGCCGGCTCCTGTTCTTTCTGTTGAGTCCGAAAAGAATGAGGAGAAGGCAGATATCGAAGAGCCCAAAGCCATCAGGCCCGAGATCGCTGAGCCAGAACACCCGGAGGTCATTGAGGAATCTGTCGTCCAGGAGACTGCCCAAGAGGAGCCAGCCCTGAACAAGGCTGAGAGTGAATCTGCTCCTATTGAGCTTACCCCAGCAGCCGCCGAAGAGGAAGTTTCTACTCCTGAACCAATCGAGGAGGAAATCGTACCGGAGCAAGTTGAGGAAGAAAAGGAGACCGCAATTGAGCCTGAGGTTGTCGAGAAAGAGGTACCAATCGCCGCCGAAATCGAGGACCCAGTCATCGAAAAAGCGGAATCAACCGCGGTTCCCATCGAAGAGGCAGAAGTCACCGAGAAGGAGCCAGAATCAACCCCCATCGTCGAGATCGAGCCGACCAAAGAGGACGAGCCAACGATCATATCAACCCCAAAAGTAGAGCCAGCTCTCAAGTCACCAGTAGTAGAAGATCCAGCAGATGTCAAAGCACGAGAAGAGATCGAGCTTCTGAATGCACAGGTATTGAAGGCCGCATCGGAGGGGGAGGATATCGATTAAAACAATAGGTGTTTGTTTTTACATTTTTGAACGAGATGAGATAGATGTAGGAGGGAACTTCTTTGCATTCACGATGTAGCTTGCCATGTATCTTGTATGTGTAAATTGGAGATTAAAATTCAGCGAAGCATTGCATTAGTTACAAAGAAAACTCCTTTGTTCGCGTTTGTGTGAGGTGTGTGGAGAGAGGACATCTTGAGGGTCTAGTGTTGATTACAGTAAGCAATTAGGCAAATTTTAATACATGGAATGGGTATTCGATTCTGCATCCTTGCTTGCGTTGCTGTACATATATGTTTCATTCCCATGTCCATCTCATCTTATCTTCCTTGCTTACATAGTACGTCGCTCTTTCTGATCCTCCACGGTGTTTCATTCAATATTCTGTCTCTAACCATGTTACTCGTGTGCTGTACAGTACTACAACGTGAAAAGGTACGTACCTTGAATAGCGCTTTCCGTACTCCTTTACTTCTTTCCCCAATCAACTGCGAGCGAGCGTCGAGCGGCGTGGCGTGGCGTGGCGTGGCGTGGCGATTGGAAGTGAAGGGAATTTGTATACAAGAAATTCAAGCTGCCTCAGATCACGCCCATAAGAGAAAAGTAGGAACTTACCAATACTGCGGAAGAAACAAACATCCCATTCCACCCCTTCTTCTCGTCTCCTCGAATTACATTTTCAGTCGTTTTGTATTATTGTCTTTGGTTCCCAGCGAAGAAGTTCGATACTCCCAGATTCCGGGCCTAGAATCCACTTCACTACCAGCGTCCCAATGGTGGAGCTGAGATGTCGAGTTTCGTTGCCGGGTTGTTGATAGGAAATGGAAATGTTGATATTGAAAGAAGTTGAAGAATTAGTCATTATAATGAATTAAGCATCCTCTACCCTAAACAGACTTCCGCAGCAGTCTGACTCTTTGTTCATAGATAAAGTTTTATTTCAGGTGATATGGATGGCGCTGAAGTGAGGTGCAAACGGGGAGCATGTCGGCAGATGGAACGATGCAGATTGACTTGACTACTGAAGAGATGTCCAAAACTTCTTCGACCCCTTCAACATATAAGTAAGCGGCTGCTCAAGGAAACAGTATATTAGAAAGGGTTAAGGGCTCTGAAATTAAGAATATTCTAAACTCTTGGGGTTTCAAACGGGACAAACAACAAAAAGTAATCGTGGTCAAGCCGGCGCAGAATCTTACTCTAAACGTGAAATGAGGCCTAGGGGAGTTACTTACTGATTGCATATCAAGGTCTCTAAGCTGGCGTGTGAAGTCGCGTGCCGAATATTGTCTGTCGCCGTAACCGTGGTAAACATCACTTTGCGGTATGTGCAACGCCGGGATATAGAGCTGGATTTTTGAGGAGTTTAGGAAGGCCGTTTGGCCCAACCGAATCGAACCTGCACAGATGTTAGGAACCCGGAGTGAATCTTAAGTTGAAGAAGTTGAAGAGATTCTGTGCCAGCTTGACTGTTTTGATTGATAAATTTGCTTATTGAATATAATGCAGACGGAACTCCTCGACGGAATTGCGTCTGGAGAGAAAAGTAGCTCGGGTGAATCCTTACCCATCTGTGATAGCAAAAACATTAGAAATTCGGCGAAGTAATCCTTTAGAGTTCCTTTACAATTAATAAAGGATCTTTAGCATATAATATTACTACTTATGAAATGATATAAAGTCTCGTTTGTCGTTATCTTGCAAAGTGTTATAGTAGAAAATAGAGAAAATCACGTGACGTTATATAATCTTGTCAATATCTGATTATCATAGCAATGTGTATTAAGCTATTAATATAAAGTGATTAGGATGATTTTGAGTTAAAAAAAACTGAGGGAGGCCTCTACTAACTTTCCCTTATAAAGTTCTTGGTGAAACTGAATGAAAGTGTCCTAGTCCGCTTAGCAAAGGGCACTCGACTCCACGCTCATACCTATGAAAGCGTGCCGTCCATATAAAAAAGAGCCCCGTACTTCTTATACATTCTAGTATTGAAGGGAAATACAAAGTTTATAGGTTTACGTTTAGAGTTGTGTACATATAGAGCTATTGTCTTTCGGTTTCGCAGCGCGATTTGGATCGCTTAGGAGGAAAAGGGGTAACGAGTAAGGTACTCCATAACTTGCAACGTAATGATTTTTCCCACTTCAGTCTAAGAATAATGTCCTATACAAGACATAATGGCTTTGTACCGGAGGACCTCCTTCCGATAATTCCTGGACTGGCTCTAGAGGCAGATTCTAAGTCATTCTTTTGCATTTCAGGTGGCCCGCAAGTCGGGTGTGCTTAGAGTTATTAGCAGTATTTACTTGAATGAACATATAAGAAAGCTAGAATATATATAACGTGCAAGGAGTGATAGTTCTCCAGACTGAAAACTCGAGAAAGTAGCAGTCTTCTTAGGGTTTGGGGATTGTCCCATATTTATTTACATGAGAAATTCACAGTATTTGGACTCATTAGGCGACATGTTCGAGAATCCTCATATTCTAACATGTACATGCTTTGTCTTCCTCCAATGATTTCATCGCAACATTTCCTTTACTATCAAATCGACCTCACGTTCAACTCTCTCCGGGAAAATCTGAACCATCATCCTTGACCTCCATCTTCCCATCACCCTTTATATCTAATGAAGAGTACTCCATTCTAGATCTCAGGCTTGGAGACTTGTTTGGGATCAGAACCTTGCTGAGGCGGGGAAACTTGTTCAGGTTCGGAGATTTTCTTCTAGTAAAAGGAAGACCTGCTTCTACTCCCTCCACCACTTCCCCTCTAACGCTTACACGCCAAGTGGTAATTCAAACACACAACCTGGAAACACGAGTCATGCTAGATAGGTAGTAAGCACTGGAATCTCCTAGCCCTCGGGTGCAGGTTCGCTTAGGAGACATGCATGACTGTAGATCCGTGACTGACTATTTACAAGCAGCTCCGAGAGGAAAGAAATGTCAAATGAATACTTGATTCGAAGCAAAGAAAGCTCACTTAAGACCCCAATACTTCAGCCGCACGGAACTGCTACATAAAGTCAGAATTCGAGGAGATAACGTAGGCCGCAGAAGAAAAGTTGCCCCTTGGCTAGTATCAGAACTTGCTTGCTTTGAATTATGTCTCAGCTGCCTACCTACCTACAGATATATACAAGTACAGAGAGATGATATAATATAATAGAGATAAATATAAATATGCCTCCCTCCGTTGCCTTACCTTGCGCCATGCCATGCCATGCTCGAAATGAGGGTATATATCAGGGAAGAAAGAAAAGAATCCATCCGTCCTTCTACCATATCATTTCATATCTCTCTCTCCTTCATAAATCATTTCCCCGTATATATCATTTTGTAGATGTTGCGTTGTTGTGAAGTTCGCCTCAAGAGATATGCGTGAATTATTGATGATGTTCTCCTTCCTCATCAATACTCCTTACAACTGGACTTGACGGATCAACTTGAATGCTCGGCAAGTTACTTAACCTCAAACTGGGTAGCTGAGGTGTCCCACCTACACCCCTCGAACTCCGACTCCCACTCCCACTCCGACTTTCAAAAAACGCTCTCCCCTCTCCCTGTTCTGCCACCGGACTAGTATAACCCGGCGGCGGCCCTTCATATTCTTCGGAATGTGGTGTTTCTAGAGCAATATTCTCATACTCCGGTGGACTATTCGGCGGCACATCCTCATGCTCAATCATCTCGGGACTACTGCCCGCCAAGCCCTCACTCTGGCTCTGTCTCGTACTGGCTCTCGTTAAAGGGCTTTCCGCTCTCGCGCGCGGTAATCCTGGAGATGGGAAATCAGAGTTATTCGTATCGATACTGATAACCGAACTCGCGGATCTCTCCCGGCGGTGATAATGGCTGCTCGCTGCAATACTAGCCGCATCGCCCAGCAAGCCCTCACGCTCGCTCTCGATACTGCTAGCACGCAGCCTCGTGCCATCATGCCTCGCAACACCCAGATCCGCGTAGGAAACCGATGACACCGCCCGCGAGCGCTCTTTCTTAACCCTCTCATGCTCCGCCCTCAACTCCTCCAAGCTCCTCCCCGCACTCGCAGCGTTCCCTGCGCGGGCTCTCGCTTGAATCTCCCTTAGCGCAGCAGTATCGCCCCTCTCCCTCGCCTCGCGTCGTTGTTGTCTCCTCTCTTCGCGTTCCTCGTTTTCTCGGCGACGCGCTAGGCGGACTTGGTATAAAGCTTCCATTTCGGCTTCACGCTGTGCTTCTTCCTCGTCGATGGTTTCTGGTTGCTCAACCACGACGTCAATGCCACCGCGCTCGCCTTCACGGCCCAGGACTTGCTCGTTGGAGTTCGGGGCTGGGTTATAGGCGGGCAATGTCATCACGCTGCGCACTGAGGTATTGCGGTCAACGCCGCCTGCTGCTGTGGCTGCTGTTGTAGGTATAGTACTCGTAGGCCCAGCGGTATTGACAGAAGCTCTTGATTGGATTGTTGATATGGGCTCGAGATGCTCGTTTGTGTCGGGCAGACGCCGGTGGGATGACCAGGACCGAGGTTCCCATTTCTGCCAGACTTGCTTGAGGGGTTTGGGGATGTATTTTGGGTTCTTGTGTTTTCGGCGGGTTTGGCGGAGGGCGAAGAAGAGGAGGAGGAGGCCTAGGACGCCAGCCACGACTCCGACGATTATCTACATGTTTGTTAGATGAAGCTTCGACGGTGAACTTTGGATAGACTTACTCCTACGGTTGGTGGTGCTGAGCTGTGCTTTGACTCTGGATTCGAGGTAGCAGAGGGGCTAGACGTAGATGTAGATGTTGGCGTTGAAGTGGGAGTTATCGACCCAAGACTCGTACTGCTTGCACCATCTCCACCTCCACCACCATCATCACCTCCCGCTGATGGGCCATCTCCTTGCCGCTGCTGCAACACCGATGATTCAGGTAAACGCATTGTGGTTGTAGAAAACAGCGCAGGACTCAATCCACGATTGAGAAGCGACAAATAATGTCCACCTTCGTGCACCTTCGTGACGGGCACTGAATGGCTTATATCCTGTGCTACTGGTCCAGGCTGACGTTAAGAGAAATGTTGGAAGGGGATCGGCAGGACTGGATCGTGAGGTGAGGGTGGGAGCGGCTCAGAATCTTGCTTGCATTGTATCAATTGTATAGTAACAAGGTAGTAGGTATATGAAGCAATATTCGAGCAAATGAACGAATTATTCTGTGAGGAGATGTTGGTACGGATCCTGGTCTGGATACTCATCAGATGAATATCCAGGATGGTGAGGCAACGAGTACGACAACTGCGGCCAGGCCGGGCGCTGCAGCTCTTTACAGCGGGGGTCGGCCATCTCATCCAATAGGAGTCGCGGATTGATTACTAACCCCTGCAGCTAGACGCCCGGATAGTATTTAAAGACGTGGCTGATGCCCCCCACTCCTTTCATCTCGTGTGGCTGCAGCTGCTGCGCAAAACCCCCAAGTACGATCTGATCGCAGCTGCCAAACTTCATAAATAGTTACACGTCCTGCCTGTCTGGGGATGGAGTATACACTTCGGACTCAATGTCAGATCAACGAACTGAAGGACGTATGTGTATGCGTATCACCTTGCGGGCTTCTGCATAGACCGAAAACCGTTGCTCCACGCAACCAATGTCTTTTGCTTTCCGGGTCTACCGGTGTTTATCAGCCGTTCACCGTTCTGGCTTACGAGGTTTCTCAGTGGCGATATTCAGCCTCGGATTTGGAATTAGTGTTCCACGTGTCGTGCTTTGGAATTAGAGAATTCTATCAGGGAAAGTGCGCCTTTGACGTTGGTATCCAGGTTTTGAGACAAGGAAGTCCTTCTCTCCCTCTGGCTCTTTGTTGTCCGAGATTGGTAGAATCAGCATCCCGTCTTGTTATTTGGGGTTTATTTAGTATTTGCATTGTCAAGTGTTTTCTGTATTGCTCTAGTCTCTGTTTATGGTTCTTGCTGCTTATCCAAATTCTCAGCATGGATATACAGTGTGGGCATATTGCGAGTACCCATGGCCAAAAACAAACCAAAAATCTCCTCTCACCGGCCGTCCCGCTTCAAGATTCTTATCAATTCGCTCAACTCAGTTGGCTTCCTCCTTAGAACCTCTGTTCAGCATTCTCCATCTTCGCCAATTTGTCCTCTACGGCCTTCCTTGCCTTCGCAACAGCCTTTTTATCCCCAACCAATCCTACCTCGCGTCCCTCCCCAGGAAAATCAAATCTGGACAGAAGAACGTCGCAGCCGGTTCTGCGCTCGATATCGATGAGGGCCGCAAAGTTTCGTCGACCCAAATACTTGTGTTGCGGGATGGTAATTTCAAAAGCCTCATGCACCCTCTCCTCAGTCTCCAAAGTCTTGGCCATGTCAGGCGGAGCCAAACTCACAAACTCAAACGTCGGCTTATTCTCACCGACCCAAAAATTCCGTCCCACGTTCCCCAGAACCAGATCATTCTCAACGCGCTCGATGTCACGCATAATCCGATCCTTGAAATTGATTTGGCCCTTAGTGATCCCATCAGTGGAAGGAGCACGAAAACTCTGAAAGTCAGGATCGACTCGTCCCGGGGCAGGCTCCCAGAGGTGAGAAGGCGTGACCCAATATACCTCCCTTAAACTTGGGCAGCCCGGCCACCGAGGTTTGCCTTGCCAGCTTAGGATGCTCTTATGAAACCCATGGAGAGATTGCATGATGGTAACCCCACCATCGACACCGTACGTAGGCTCGTCCCAGTTGCAGCAGTTAGTGCGGTTTCCGCTTGAAAGTATGGCCACACGCGAGATTGTGAGACCTTCATAGACGGCGCCCATGAAGACATGCAACAACGTTGTGACGCAGGTTTTCTCGCCGAAATAAAGGATGTCGGCTCGTGGATTGAAGTATATGTCGTGGCTTCCCTCCTGGGTATCAAAAGAGCGCTTTTCGTAAATTTTGAGTGCCTGCTCTCGACTTTCATAGTTGATGCTAAAGAAGACCGGAGGCTGACGAGACCGAGGGGCAACGCGATGCAATCCGTGATCTCCGCATATCGGATAGCTTGTTGCCAGTGTGAACCCATTTCGGATGACAGGACCCTTCTCGATCTCGATAATACGGGGGACATCCATGGCCATGCGCCAGATCTTAACTCTGACTTCAGCGGGCAAGTCGCCGAACTCACTATAAATTGTCTGTTAGCCATTACAACAGCAAGAATTTACTAGGGCAGGATCTGATCTTACTTAGGAGCTTCCTCTTCTTCAGCCTTCCCCTTTCCTTTATCATTCTTCGGATTCTTCTTGTTCGACTGTGCTCTGCTTTGGTTAGATTTGGAGTCTACATGTGTAGAGGACGTCGATGCTCCAGTTCGGTTGTTTGCGCTGAACTCAAGTTAGCAAAGCCATCATCCATGACACCTGAATTTAGTTCCTACCTTGACCCGCTTTGGGCAAGCTTCATCTCCTCCATCTTAGCCTTGATGCTAGCCATTGACTTGTCAAGACTGCTGAGTGGAGGTCCCTAAAAACGAGTTAGCATATGTTAGAGAGCATGGGTGAAACACAGGTAGACCTACAGAAGTCTTAGGCAAATTAACCACTGAAGCCATGCTCAAAGGGGAACTACCAGTGTTCACCCCTGTGTTGCCGGTCTTGTGGATCATAGGCTAGGCATCAAAGTTAGCTTGGATCGATGCGAATGGGGTATTTGAACACTCACTGGAATGGTTGGTGTAGCAACAGCTGGATTGGAGGCTGATGCAGATACACTGCCAGATGCTATGGTAGCCCAGGACCTCTGATTATAGTTAGCAAATAGCTGTGGCAGAGAACAGAAAAGGGAGTACAAAGAGGGTCAGATGGAGTTGGAAGGGAAGGAAGCAGGTGGCTTTGGATGAGGGTTGAGACTCGCAAGAATAAAATACTCAGAGCTGATGCAGCCGCAGTTGCAGGGACTTCCTCAGGAGCTTTCCCAAAGCTTCCCATAGCTTGGTTATGGTGCTGAGGCGAATTTCTGCCCCATTCATGCTCGTGTTGTTGCTCGCGTCGCTGGCGCTGGTGCTGGCCATCTTGTTTGCTTTACTCCGTCTAGCCATTCTGGTGCTGGCCACTGCTTAATCGAAGAAGGCTTCGGCGACTAGCAAGAAGAAGGTGTTATTGAAGTAGAATCAAGAAAGACAAGTGCTCGGTCGTACGAAAGACGTTGTGTCCGTCGTGGGAAAGCAAAGATTGAGGAAGAAGTTTTTTCTCGATGTGGAAAACGGAAGTGGTTCGGAGCAATGACAACTTGAATACCGCATTTTACCGCGGGCAGGGTCGCCGTCGTCGGACCACATGAGGCTATTGGCAGGATCAGACCTACGGAAGCTCAATCAATGAGTATTCGTACAGGGGATGGGAATGTGGAATTCATAGATGGGATGTCACGCACATGATCATTATTCCTGCTCCAAAGCCTTCCTAAGACATGCTTGCTTCGAGTGTTCGACTTTCTAGTTCAAATTTCAAATACTCTTGATATAATCATCTATTGCTGCAGGGTGCATGGACGTGGGTATTAATGAAGTCTCGTTGCGCATGCTTGCGCAATGTGCCACTGAGGGATACAAATCAGAATAAAATTGGCAGGTCTAAACGTATGTAATAAAGCATGCGCCTTGACCAGCCTAAGGTGCTCTGGCAATTATGTGTATTGTTTGTGTATAGAATAATGGACTCGTTGTAGAAATATAGTTAAGTGATCTCTAAATAATTTGGCCATTCCGCGTCGTGCTGGGGACTCTGATTTGGAAGCTGGTGCGAAATTATGCAGTATGTAGAGTGAAGAGACAAGCCGCGACATAACACAAGAAGCTGCGTTTCCTATTTCACTGCAAAGAACGCTTCTGCCAGCACTCTGAAGAGAATGCTGTTCAGAGCCCACAAAGCTTGGATCGGTCACGTGCTCGTTTAGTTTCCAGGGGCTGCCGCTCGGGAAGTCAACAACACTCCATCACCGACCCCACGTCCACTGCTCACACAGCATCTAAGACACCAGTAGATGCAGATAGAAGTGCGCAGTAGCTAGGGCAATCCTATGTATATTGTGTCCTCAACTTTGTCTCCCTTTGTTGACCCCCAATCGTGAAGTCGATAGAAGAAGAAGGAGGAAGAGGAAAGTGACGAGGAAGGTCGACGAGTATGTATAAAGTATCCATCCATCATAATTGCAGTAGCCCAGATATTTGTTCCTCTTTGTAAATTGTTTGTGGGAATCGTAGTTGTTTGTGGAAGGAGGTGCGGGCTAGGTGACAATCAGCATGGGTGCTTGCGCGACAAAGGTTTGTGGATTGAGGGTTTGTTCGAGACGGTAGTATCTCTTGTTCTTGCTAGATTGATGGGATAGAGGTGTCTGTGACAGTTTGTAGGTCGGTAGTAGAGGAGAGGTCCTTCGTCGCGTGAGATTTGCCCTATGTTTGTGACAGCGTTTGCAAAGCGGAGGCTTGACTTCTTAGGTATTCCAAGGATCTGCAAGTAAAGAGATGTTGGTTAGCAATCATTGTATGATAAAGTGATTGTAAAGTGAGGTCTTGTTGAGTGTCAGAGCAAACGGCGAAGGTTTGCGCACACTGGAGCCCACCGTCGGATTGCTCCAGAGAGGCCTCGAAATTCAAAGATGATCAAGCGTGCTTTCTAGAAGACACTTCCCAGTGATCTTATCTTGATGATATATTCTAACTCTGTAGCCGTCGTAGTCTGCTTTTTGCTGTCCTGATGCGCGTATTTTTGAAAGTGATTGGGCGAACGATGGGGAAGAAACAAAGCCCGGGCTGGCAAAGTTGAAGGATTTTAAATGTAAAAAACATATACCGAGTCTCTTCTCGGCTTATTGTATAGAATGAAAGTTTTTAATGAGTGTAATAGACGTTATTTGTCGAAAATTCTGCGAAGTGCCATGGATTTTCCTGA